CTCCCACATAAACAAATGAGTGAAGAGTAGACTCTGTAAAGAAAAACTCCCAATCTTCGAGAAATCCTGCTCGCGAGCAAGTTTCGCTTCCGGGCGAGCAAATCTGTGCTCTGGATATATTTATGTATGAGTATTTTTCCGCTTCGTACACTTTTGAGCGATTCTGCTCTCACTCTTATTATTCAAACTGGAGTGACTCGGGAGTGCTCCCACATAAACAAATGAGTGAAGAGTAGACTCTGTAAAAAAAACTCCCACTCTTCGAGAAATCCTGCTCGCGAGCAAGTTTCGCTTCCGGGCGAGCAAATCTGTGCTCTGGATATTGACCGATTTAAGGTTTATTGAGCACCAAATATTGAAAATTAACCCACATAGGAAGGGTTTCCACACATACGACCCATTTTGCTACTATAGCTCACATATATATTTTCTAATATTTCATTTTGAATCATACTATAAATTTACTACTAGAATGAAGCCGTTTAATTTTTTAACAAATCGATCCACACATGGTAATAGCTCTCATATATACGTTTCATCCGATATTATATTTATACCTCCATTCAATTCAGTGTAAATCAGATTAATAATATTCTATGTTCGTTCTATCTGATTTCAAATTTCCCCCGTTCTCGTAAATACGTATTCAATATTGATCGTTGCTAAGTTTTCTTTAAAAAAAAATCTTTTTAAATTTGATATACAGTAATGCACATAAATATTGGCACACCGACAGTTTTCAAATTAACAATTTGTATTATGCTCGGCATGCAATGTGTAGTGGCTGAAAATTATATTTTTACGTAAATGAAAGAATATAGCACCACATACAACTTTGTTTTTATATCAAATTAGTAAGTATTATTTTCTTTAATGCATAAACTAATAAGTCAACTTTTTGTGCACAAAAGTATTGGCACACCTGTATTACTATGTGGCAACTATGTAAAAATTTATATTCTGGCAATTCATTTGCTAGAAAATATGAACGGCTATTTACCGTTTTAAACAACCAAGCTAATTTTTTCCAGAAATTCGAGCAGTTGTGAAAATTATTGGTTGAAAATAATATATGAAGCAAGTATAGGTGGCAAACTTAAAGAAACCACAGAATCCCAGCGTAAAATTATTATTAATTTACACAATCAAGGAAAATCATATGCCGAGATTGGAGAAATTATGGATAGAAGCCGATTTACCATTCGAAACATCATTCATCGATTTAAAGAGGCACTTAATTTGGAAAATATAAAGCGCTCTGGCCGGCCCGGAATTTTTAGTGATCGAGAATGCATGCAAATTGTTAGAAAAGTCAAAACAACGTCAACGCAAATTGCTGCGGAAGTTAAAGAAGATTTTGCCATGACGAAAAGACGAGTGCTGCATGAGGCTGGCTACAACGCGCGAGTTGCTAGACGTAAACCACTCATTTCTCAAACCAACCAAATGAAACGTTTAGAGTATGCAAAGGAGTATAAAAATAAGTCAACTGAGTTTTGGGACCAAGTGCTCTTCTCCGATGAAAGCAAATTTAATATATTCCAGTCGGAAGGAAGAGTTACTGTGTGGCGAAAACCAAACACTGCCTATGACAAACAAAACCATGCACCAACTGTTAAACATGGTGGTGGGGGAGTTATGGTATGGTGTTGTATATCTGCTAGAGGTGTTGGAGAACTAGTTTTTATAGATGGAATAATGAACAAAATAATTTATCTCGATATTTTAAAGGGAAATTCGAAGAAAAGTACCGAAAAGCTGAACCCAACTAATTTATTAACCTTTCAGCATGATAACGACCCAAAGCACACATCTCATATTGTGCGAATGTAGCTAACATACAACACCGCACACGTACTGCCACACCCACCACACTCTCCAGACCTCAATCCAATTGAGCATTTATGGGAAGAACTGGACAGACGGGTTAAAAAACCTGAACTTTCAAATAAAACTGAGCTGCAAATAGCCTTATTGAAAGAATGGTAAAATATAGGCGAAGAAACGACCAGAAGATTGGTCCATTCCATGCCAAAACGACTGGATGATGTTATTAAATATAGGCGAAGAAACGACCAAAAGATTGGCCCATTCCATGCCAAAACGACTGGATGCTGTTATTAAACTGTAGGGATTGCCAACAAAATATTAATTCGCAAATATTTTCTATATTCATAAGATATAATTTAGGTGTGCCAATACTTTTGTGTTCTGAAAATATTTTTTGGTATTAAATAAAATAAAAAAAATTGATAATCCAAAATCGCATCATATAGCATCAAATTCATTCATTTATATATCTTCTTCTTCTATATCTATAAAAGAGGAAAATGTTTGTATGTTTGTTTGTTTGTAATTTATGGACTCCAAAACCGCTGAATAGATTTTCCTGAAAATTTCCATATATACTGCAACATCGCCTGAAAGTAACATAGGCTATATACATTTTTGAATTTCCACTTGGAACTGGAGATATAGCATCAGAATCGGAGGTACCTTCCAAAAATTTAGATTTTATATGCACATATCTATTGATTGGTTGAAGATACAGTCTCCAAATTTAGAATACGTAACGGAATTCGGAACAAAAATAAGTTTGCCAAATTATATTGTAATCGGTTCAGATTTGGATATAGCTCCCATATATATTTTCGAACGATTTCGTTCATTTGATGCTTCAAACACGATATGAATGTTCGATTCCAATGAAATTTGGAATGTGTGACGGGATTTAATCCGAAAATAAATTTGTCAAATTATATTGAAATCGGTTCAGATTTGGATATAGCTCCCATATATATTTTCGGCCGATTTCAAGCATTTGATGCACCAAACACGCTATGTATCCCCAATTTCAATGCAATTTGAAACGTGTGATAGATTTTATCTAAAAAATTGATTTCCCAAATTATATTGAAATCGGTTCAGATGTTTGGTCCACCAAATACATGAAATCGGCCGAAAATGTATATGGAAGCTATATATACATTTTCGGCCGATTTCATGTATTTGGTGGACCAAACACGACATGTATTTCCAATTGTAATGAAATTTAAAATAAGTAACGGAATTGGGAGCCAAAATGAATTTGTCAAATTAAATTGAAATCGGTTCAGATTTGGATATAGCTCTCATATATATTTTCGACCGATTTCATGTATTTTATGCTATGTATGTTCGATTCCAAAGAAATTTGGAATATATAACGGGATTTTGATTAGAAAATAAATTAGTCAAATTATATTAAAATCGGTTCAGATTTGGATATAGCTCCCATATATATTTTCCGCCGATTTCACATATTTGATGCACAAAACACGATACGTATTTCCGATTCCAACGAAATTCGGCATGAGTGGCTAAATTTGGTACAAAAATAAATTTGACAAATTATATTCAAATACGCTCAGATGTGATTATAGCTCCCAAACATATACTCAGCCGATTTCACATATTTGATGCACAAAACACGATACGTATTTCCGATTCCAACGAAATTCGGCATGAGTGGCTAAATTTGGTACAAAAATAAATTTGACAAATTATATTCAAATACGCTCAGATGTGATTATAGCTCCCAAACATATACTCAGCCGATTTCACATATTTGATGCACCCAAAGCGAGAGAGACAAAATCTGGCACCAGCAAAAATTGCCAAATTATATTGAAATCAGTTGAGGTTTGGATATAGCTAACATATATATTTCGGTCGATTTCATACATATTATGCACCAAACACGATATATATGACCGATTCCAATGAAATTCAGAATGTGTGGTGGAATTTGGTTATAATAATAAATGTGATAAATTAATTGGAAATTAGTTAAGATTTGGATATAGCTCCCATATATATATTCTCGGCCGATTTCACATATTTGACGCACCAATTTCAATGAATTATGAAAGGTGTGGCGGAGTTTTGTGTAAAAGTAATTTTTTTAAATTATATTTAAATCATTGACCCACAACGCCTTAGGCTAACACTAAAAAACAACACAACAATTTATTTGAAATACGCTTATTACGGCGAAGTATGTTGCTATCTCGAATTCACTAATTGCAATAGAAAAACCACTCTACTTAAAAAAATTGCAGTTTCCTGCACGCTTAGTATTTGCTATGAAATAAATAAATCCAAAGGACAAACCCTTCGTGTATGCATGTCATGTTACTGCTTTTGTAATGATTTTGTTTATTTACGCATTAAATTAGTGCAATATTCTTTTTTTTAATTTTTAAATTTGTTTTTCTTTATCCAACATATATTCGTATATAAAATTTTGAAAGCACATAAAATCAAAAGGGGTAGCGAAGCGCACCGGGTTCAGCTAGTAAAAATATATTTATGCAAACATTATTACGCGCAGGTAATGCTTACAAGGTTACAATTCTTACTATTATTATTCCCATAAAATTGGCAATAGGATTTGATTTTCTTCAAATTTTTGACATCCCAAAAGTTTTCAATATTAAATGAAGCGGAACACTTCCTTCCACTATATCTGGTAACTCAGGCATATTTCAAAATGTTCCAAAAAGGATCACATATTTCATATAAAGAGAAAGTAGAGGTTGGTATAGTCCAAATCCAGTATTTATACTCTTTCGGAACCTCCCACATAAAGTGTCAACAGTTTAAAGAATCATAACGCAAGCCAAAATATATAAAAATAAACGGACATTGTCTGAGGGAATACATTTGTCGGCAAAACCGACCGATACTTTTTAACTTATTCTGTACGTTAATTTGTGTTATTTGTTATTATTTATGTATCTTTGCGTTTTTGTAATCATTGTAAACTATTACCTGTATATAGTTATTACTCAAAATGCCCTTCAATTTGAACCAACATGAACTTTTGACCTCTAATGGAGGTAATGAATTAAATATCTACGAAGGTACTTATTTGTCAAACGAAATTAAAGAGAAAACAAGCAATCAGAGGAGACACCACGAAAATGCAATAAAAAAGATAAAACAATAACAATATTTACCAACCTATGATGAATGGACAGATGATCCGTTGCGGTATTATACCAAATAGCTTCTGTTGTTATTGTTGCTTTTAGCAAATTCATTAGTGAAATGCCAATTTAATATTTTACACGAGTCGCGAGCTAAGATGGAGATGGAGAAAGAGAGCGCGCGATAGACGAGGCGGGACAAACGTTTTACACAATCACTTTTTTAACAATTAATAAATTTTAATGATTTTTTCCCTTTAAACTAAACGATTTTTTCTCTTTCTCAATACAAAATAATTTGTAATGATGTTGCTGACAATGACAATTATTTTCTATTTTATTTTCTTATTTATTTTTCTTTGCACAATTCTTTTTTACTTTTCCACCAAGATTTCTTATGTATTTCTGCAATATTTAATTAATTAATTGATTTATTTCTTATGTTTGCAAATTTTTCATCATGTTTTATTTGCTCCTTGTTTACTCTTCCTCTCTCTCTCTCTCTCTCTCTCTTGAATTGCTTGTTTCTCAAGGGGGCGATAAGAGCTGAAAGATTTTCTTTTGCACTAAGTGGTATTTTTTAAATTTTCTTTAAAATTTATTCTATTTGAATAAAATAATTTTGTTGTAATAGCCCGCAACTATAGCTTTTTGTTCTATAAAAATAACTTGTTCTCTCCAACAACTCCTCTCCTTGCCATCAATGGACCTTCAAAGGGGGTCAATTGTTGTTAAATTAAAATGATTAGATTTTCTCTTTTTTCTTGATGATGTTGCTGCGGCTGTTATTGCTGTTTTTTTTATTTTTTATTCTCCTAATTCTACCATCACATGCGGGTGGCAGTAGCTGTTGTTGTTATTACTGCTGCCATTACCATAAATGTTTTGCACAACAACAATTTTAGTTAGATTTTGTTATTATTCTTTACTTGTTTCATTTACTATTAGGGTTGTTGGTCAATGCGGGAGGCGGTGTTGGATAGATGGTCGGGTTTCAATGAAATAAAACAACAAAAACAAATGCCAAATCACATCAAACACAACGAAAAATGTAATGCGCGCCTTCGTACACTCACGAATTTTGTACTTCAACGGCCAGCGAGAGACTGAATTAACTCGGCACTACGTGAGATTTAATTCACCGCTAAGTGAGTGAGTGAGACAGACTGGTTGGGAGAAAGAGAGTGCCTGACAGGGAAGAGGAAATACACAGAGAACCTGGGGTTATGTTTTGTTGTGTAGCCAAAATGGAAACAGTGTTGCATGTTTTGGTATTTAATACACAATACAACAACTGTCATATCTAATGACAGATGGAACAAAAGACAACCGTTACTAGCCGACAGATTTTAAATGGTTCAAAAATGAAGAGGTGAACAATAACTAAGTGGTTTTCAGAGCAATGATTAGCTCTCGATCATTTTTATTTGATAACATTAATAATCACACGTTCATCATACCCCGAGTTAAGCTTTTAAGGAAAAAATATTGAGCACGCCTACTATTACGCCCACTATTTCGATTTATCTAAAATCCTTAGTTTTACCACAATAATGAAGATATCGGTTTCAATATATACACGAGATACTGTTGACTTTCCATCCAACGCTAAGTATTTATTTGGGGCTGCGGAATTGATCACACCTACTTTTTAATCTATATGTATAAAAAAATCAATTGTTGTTCGTTGGTAATTGAATCAGTAGAGAACGACTGGACTGATTTGGATAATTTTTTTTAATGTACCCCTTCCCCGAGTTTTGTTTTTTTGCCAAGAAAAAGTGACCACGCCCAATTATACGCCCATTTTTTCGATTTAGCTAAAATCCTAATATTAGCATGAATAATGATTATATCAGTTCCATAGTTAGTATATGACGTACTCTTGACTCTCCCTCCCACCCTAGATGTCTGTTTGGTGTCAAAGGAACTGGATACACCTACTTCTTTAAATCTATATGTATAAAATTTAAAAAAGTATAGTAAGACATCAGTTGAGAACTGCTGGGCCTCAAATGACTCAAATGTTCTTTTGGTTATTTGTATTTACAGTGGTTATTTGTAATTACAGTTATTTGTAATTACATAAAAGAAAATATTGAGAAAATCCACTAAAAAATTACGGAACTGAAAAATGACTGTTCTATTTTGGTTATAATTTTGTGCAGAATTTTTTTCAAAATGCCTTTTGTAATTGAAAATTCTAGATAAAAAAAAAACGAACAAATCGAGAAATTTTGCGTACTTTATATACAATGTTGATTAAAAATACTTCTCAAAACATTCAAAGTCTCAACGTACTTTTTAATTGGGGCCATGCCTAATGCTGAACCAATAGTAAAAATAATAAAATAAACTTTAAATCTCAAATTATAGTTCATTCGGTAGAAATTACAACAAAAACTTGCAAAAGGGCGAATATTTAGTGGTATTATGTTACCTAAACCAAACGTATATATGCCAACTTCGTAGGAATCTATATGTATAAAAGAGGAAAATGATTGTATGTTTGCTTGTAATTTATGGCCTTGAAAACCGCTGAATATATTGTCCTGAAAATTTCCAAGTATACTACAACATCGCCTAAAAGTAATACAGGCTATATACATTTTTGAAATTTCATTTGGAATTGGAGATATAGCATCAAAATCGGAGGTACATCCCAAAAGTTTAGATTTTAAATGCACATATCTATTGATCGATTACAGATACAGTCTCCAAATTTAGAATGCGTAAGGGAATTTGAAACAACAATAAATATACCAAATTATATTGACATCGGTTCAGATTTGGGTGTAGCTCCCATATAAATTTTCGGCCGATTTTATATATTTGATGCACCCAATGTCCGATTCCAATGAAATTCGGACAGTGAGAAGAAATCTGGATCACCGCATTCGACCGTAATTTATTTTATATACTACTTTTTATATTTCTGTAAAAATATGGTAAAGAGAAAATGGAAACGAAAGAGAGTTTCAAAATAAGTTTTTGTGATCAAAATATGGTTTCAGAGGATGAGTATAAAGTAGCATTAATAAGGAAAAATTTTCGTGACAAAAGCAGTCCTTTAGCATTGCCTGAGGTAGATTCTATTAAGAAGTGAATGCTTTTAACTAATTGTGTTTTTAACATCCATAGATTTTAAATGTCTGGATACTCCAAGATAAATTCAGCCAATACCTCTTTCTGCTTTGCATTGGCTTTGTTGCATTTTTTTACCCTCCACTATAGTATGGAGGTTATATTAAGTTTGTCATTCCGTTTGTAACACCTCGAAATATACATTTTAGACCAACAAAGTATATATATTCTTGATCAGCATAAAATTCTATATCGATTTAATCCGTCCGTCCATCTGTGGCAATCACTCTATCTTCCGAACGAAATGAATTAGGTGGATAAAATGTTACTCAAATATATATTATGTCTGAAGGACTTTTGGTATTGAAAATGGGCAATGTAGGTCCACGTCTTCGTATAGCATCCATATAACGGTACCTCCCGATATTCGTTACTGTGTTGATTTTAGCGATATTATTCACCGGTATTGTTTCAAATTTGGTATTTGAAGTTCGTAATGGATACTACAGCCTATGAGAGAAGGTTGTCTGTGCAGGTTCACATCTTCGTATAGGCCCCATATAACGGTACCTCCCGATATACAGTATTTTGCTGATTTTAGCTAATTATTCACTGTATTTTTTTTTTAAGTTTCGAACTTGAGTATTGTAATGGCTTATGACAAACCCTAATATAACAGTCTCATTCGGTATTTTTAAGATTTTAACAGAATTTTTAACGGATTTTATTGTTTTTGAGAATTGCCAATTTCGTTACAAACGGTGTTCGGCCCGGCCGAACTTACAGCTTTTTTACTTGCGCATTTCTTTCTTTGATCCGCAATAAATGTAATATTTTCTTAAATGTATTTTACCGAAATAGAAAAATACTTACATTTTCATCAACTTCTTGTTTTTTTTTTTTTTTTTTTGTTACCTTTTTCTGCGCAAAAATCACTACATACTTTCTTTTCGACAACATACTACCTATCGTGTACAACATCGTGTAGAAACAATTATATTTCGATTGCGGTGATATGACCCAGATCGAAGGCTTTCTATAAATTAACAAACCATTTAAAGATGTCGTAAAACTAAACAAAATTGTCTGAAAATACAATTGATATATAATACAGTATATTTATTAGTACATTGACATGTTTTTTTACGCAAGTTCAATACAAAAAACAATAACAATATTATATTTTTGAATAATAATAACAAATAAAAAGAATAAGTAATTCTATAAATAATATATCAAAAAGTGTAAAATAATTTGCTACAACTATGTTATTCTTTTTTTACTTCGTACATGTGAAGTTTATATATTTATGTTTGTATATATAATAATGGGTATGTATATATATATATAAATTTTTGTAAATATTGTATTAAAATATCAAATCGAATCGATGCAAAACAACAATGTTGACAAATATTTTATAACAATGATTACGCAAAAAAATATTCACGTTTATACTCGCATAATAAATTTAGTTAACAATAAAGTTCGGCTAGGCCGACAACTCTTGTGTTTTTACAAAAAAAAAAATCCTTCACTTAAAGTGTTTAAATTCAAATTGTTGTATTGGACAAATGTGTTTTTAACGATATTTTTTCTACATTTGTAAAGGATTATGAAAGTGGAAAATAGAGGATGTAATAAAGAGGTAGATTTATTCGAATGTAATACAATCCCAAATAAAGTGCGAATCAACGAATGAATAAATCACAAGATTAAATTCTGATCTTTAGCTAAAGTTTTCATTGACATGTTCAAAGTTTGGGGAACGAAATTGTTGTTGCAAGTCCGCTCAGTGCATGATCGTGAGCGGCTTTCATTAATTTATTAATTTTATTTATTTTTTTAATTAATTATTAAGGGATTAAGCCTGACCATTTTGCAACAACAAAACACTATGGTATCCCGAACAAACAAGCCAACACTGTTTTAATTTATTTCTTATAATAACATAATCGCCCTTATTCTATTTGGCGGCGCCGACATCGTTGGAATGACATCACTTGTTTTCAACGTCTACACCAATTTGGTATTTTGTAACAGGGCCGACTGTTTATCGATAATTTGAATCTGTCATCACTAATATTTGCGACAGCTGATATATATTGTTACAAATTTAGTTTAAACCCAGTATAGAAAGGCCAAAGTCGGGATGGGCCGACTTTATGATACCCTACACCACTTTGCATATATAGTCGTAGTATGCTATATCTGATAGTTGGCAAAAAATATCATTGTCGTGACGAGTATTTTACGGGTATGAGGGAGTAAAATACAAATCATATACAGGGTGAGGTGAAAAACTACAATCAACTTCAGACAGCTATCTGAAGCCACTAAGCCACTCGTCCAACAGCTGTTAAAATTATTACAGTAATAGCTCATTATATTGTTTACAAGCGTACGAAAGCATTTTGCTGAGAATTTTCCAGAAAAAAGTTGATAGTCTGATTTCTTTATATTTAGCTGGAAAACCACAAGTGGCTATCGTTAGAGCACTCCAGCACTTAAATGTAAATAAATCTTTTGTGGCTCGTACCATCGCTCGTTACCGTGATACTGGTAGCGTAGTCCTTCGCCAAGCTAGTCGACGGAAGGAAACAGCAACATCAGCAGAAATGGTTCGAAAAGTAAAGAAGCGACTTAATTGAAACGCGTGTCGCAGTGGCCGAAAAATGGCTCGTGAGCTGAACATATCGCAAAAATAAGCTCGGGGTAAGCCATTGAAATTCCAATTTTATTTTTCTTTTTTTTAGGGTATAAAAATATGTTTTTTTTTTTTTTGTTTGTTTCTGGATGTAATTTCGAACCGAATGATGAAGAAAAAGTAAAAAAAAGTAATTTGATGTGAACAAGGTAATAAGTATCAGTCGATTTTGGCGACAGATGTATAACTTCATCCAATGTATGCTTGTTTACATAAATATTATTTCAGCTTTTAGGCGTTTGTGGGAATGGTTCCGAAAAAGTGGGTCAACGCTGTCCATTTCGTATCTAACAAAAGTCTGATATAAATTTTTCAAAATGGGAGTTATCCAAATCAAATCTATTGTTGAGAGAAATATTTAGATAAACCAAGTTTGAAAAGAATCGCTAACTTCTTTCACATGTTATGAGATATACAATTTTTTCAAATGCTCACTCTTTGTGGGGAAGGTACTAGAAGAAGTGAACCCATATATTCCATCTTCACAACAGATCTTGTGTTGATAGAAGTATTGAGATGTGCCGAGTTTGAAAGGAATCGGATGATTATTTCACGTTTTACGAACTTCGTGGATATTCAAAAATTTAATCCGTAATGGGGGATGTGCCAAAAGGAATGGATTGATATATCCCGTCTTCGCGTCAAATTGTGTGTTGATAAATGTTTTGGGATGTGTGAATTTTGAAGAAAATCGCATTTTTTACTATTATTCCAAATTTTAACCCTTTGTGCGGGAGGTGCCAGGTGGAGTTGTCCTATATACGATGTCTTCACTCCAGGTGCTGTGTCAGTAGAAATATTGAGATGTGTGAAATTTAAAGAGAATCGGGTGCTCAATATGAGAGTTATAATTATTTAACATTTTTACCCTTTGTGGGGGAGGTACATGATGGAGTGCGCTGATATTGTCCGTTTTCGCACCTGATGTAGCACTTATACAAATATTGGGATTTGCATAAAATTGGATGATCTTTTCTTGTTCTAAATGACAAATTATTTTCCATTTAAATTTGGGTTTTTGTGGGGAGGTATCAGAAAATGTGATATTACCCATCTCCGAACTCGATCTAAGTTTGATAATAATATTACGATGTACCAGCCAAACAGACCCCCAAACATATTTAGCCCAAAGTGACGTGGGGTCCAAACCCGTAGTTTCGATTATGCACGTTTTGGCCGTATTAAATGTTGTATACCCTCTGTAGCCATTTGACTGAGGGATTAAAAAATGACTTATGAGGCAGAAATCTAACATCTTTGAAGTGTTGGAAATGATTTGAACTTGGAACTATCACAGTAAAATATGTTACATTGACTAACAATTTGTTATTTTTATTTTGGGATTTTTAATTTTTGTTATATTTTGTACAAAAAAAAATCACTAAACAAGTGCAAGTCGACATCGAAAACTGTAACGACAAAATAAAAGCCTATACAAACCAATATTTTCTTAAAAAATTCCAAAAACCCTTACATTGTAATATTTATACTTGATATGCCGACTCGCAATAAACGCCCTCGTACCGAGAGAATAAGGGCGAATACCACGCATTAACCATAAAATGTTTTACACTTCATTTTAGTTGTATTTATTAATTCTTAAAGAAGAAGAGTAGAACATATAGTTTCTATGATACTGAGATATTTTCAGCAACGAAATCAAAGTAGTCGCTAAGGGCTACCGATAGTTACCAACTTTAACTTCTTTTCATTCCGTTTTTTGCCATTCCGTTTTGGTATAGCCCCCATATAGCGGTACCTCCCTATATTCGGTATTTTGATGATTTTAGAAACATTTTTCCACAGATTTGTCTAAAAAATGGTATTTGTGTCATAATGGGTTCTAGCTCCGGTGGCGAAACTATGTATGTATAGGTCCACGTTGTTGTATAGCCCCATATAACGGTACATCCCGATATTCGGTATTTTGATCAAAATTGGTATTTGCAGTTCATAATGGGTTCTAGCCCGGTGGCAAAACATGGAATATTTAGTTCCACGTTTTCCTAAAGCGCACATATAACTATACCCACCGATATTCGGTATTTTGATAATTCTAGTCACATTTAAAAACAGATTTGTTTCAAATTTGGTATTTTAAAAAATTTGATAGATAACAATCTTTGAAGTATTGACTCTAGAGATTCCCGTTTTGGTATGGCCCCATATAACAGCTTTACTCAAATTATGATTTTTTGATAAATTTAACTGCATTATGAAAAAACGGTCTTACAGGTATACGAAGTTTAAAGTTACGCTTGAATTCAGATACTTTTATATAAAAATGTTTCCTTTATCCTAAGGTGGAGGGTCTTAAATATTTTTTTTACTTGTTTATATCGAAATTTTGGGTTTCAAAGTCACGGATTTTTGTTGGTGGTCTGGCCTTTTTCCTTTAATTGAAGATTTTTTATAAGTTTTTTTTTTCATAAAACTATAGACGAACTGTGTCAATCTTTGGGAAACCTGTAGATCGTCCTCAAACTACGAAAGAACTTCAGATAGTGATCTATTAACTTAGGAGAATACAGATTCTTCCAATCGGATATAAAACAAGTCATAAAAATCGGTCTCACTGAATGGTAGTTTTAGAGTAATTAGTTATTTAAATATATGTATGCATTTTGAGCAATGATTTCATAATTACTTTTGTTTTGGGAAAGGTTTGGGATCTTCAACTTATGGAGTGAACGGATCACAGACTTTATATATTCATCATTATTTTTCTCTTATCCAAATAAAAGTGAAGGATTTTAGTTAATAACAATATTGTATACAATGAATTAATATGTATAAAATTTATGTACGTATGTAATAAAGACCGATATCTGCATTTTTACTTTTAATGTTTTCAAAATATTGAGATTTTTAAAGACTATTAAGTCACTTTAACATAAGAAAGAAAAAAATAATAAAAATAGGACAATAGGACAGACATTATTTTTAAAAAAATTAAATTTATTAAACTTTCCATATTTTGGAAATGAGGTAACAATTCGTAAATAACATAGTTCATAAGGATTCAATATTCCATTTCCATAGCTGGAAAATGGTGCATAAAGAATTAAAGATAAAACACTAGGTGTTTATTTCAAGACTTTATAGAACAGATGAAAATAAATAAATATGTATGTTTTAAGGCTTTATATGGAAGTGAATACATGAATAGGTATATTTTCATCAGTTTGTGTTGAAAATCGACGAAAATACCAAATATCGGGACTTATAATCTCAGACCACAATAACCGTTAGAGTTGTGAAAACCAAAAATTTGCAGCAGAAGTATAAATAGGTTTAACAAAATAATGTTTTTTTAGCAGTTGATTCGTTGTTATAGTACTTTCAGAGTGAATTTAGGTTGCCTTAAGGTGAGAATACATAAAACGCTTTTGACTGGCTTAAGTCATCGGTTGGCTTCTTCGTAGAGGAATAAATGAGTTTTAGGTTGACTTAGTTCGAGTTTGGCCCTACGCTCCTTTGTTCTAATCCCAAGAAACCAGCCCATGTCTTAAGCCAGTCAAAAAATATAATATATATATATATATACAATAAAAATCTCAATATTCTGAAAACATTTCCAAGCTTTTTGATAGATATGGGTCAGTGTTATTTTATTTATTTTTTTTTTAAACTATTTCTTACTTACTTATATATGTAGGTTGCTTTACAAATAGCTATCTCCAACTGATCATCCTTTTAATTTTGTGAGTTTCTTTGTTTTTCATTTTGATTACAATTGATTTGTGTAGTTTGTTTTTATTTTTCTTATAATTCAGTTTATTGACATTACATTTAATTATTGTCTCGGAAGACTGTGGCGACAAATAATTAAAAAAGAAATACTAAATACTTTATAATCTTTCAACTCGTTACTTACAAAACCAAAAAAAAAAAATGATAATAATTAAAAAAGAACATAGTACAGAAAATGTTCTGACCAAAGAGGAACATTTCTATTAGCTTAAACATCTAAGTAATATTAGGTATATAAAATTCTAACAATAACAATTTCAGTTTTTTTTAATTTCTTTCCTTCTTACAACTAGCTTTGCAATTCATTTCTCCTAAAACACAAATATTTTTTCTAATATTTTAATACAGTGTAAAAAAAACTGAAAATAATAATACACGCACATTTCACTTATTGCACACAACAAATTATGGAAAATTATGAAAATGAAATTTCATTTGTGGAAAATAGAAAAAGAAAAACGATTGGAATGATTTTACTGCTTCAGTGGTAAATTTGCCATCCTCATAATCATCTCGTACTCTTATTTATCCAAAGATGATATCGATGCTGAGATTTCGGAAACATCTCTCGATTCTTCACGGGCTCTTCGTTTAGCAGACCATTCCACAATACAGAAACATGCGGCTCCAATGGTGCCGAATACAACGAGGATGCCCAGCTGGGCTCTTAATCCCAAATGCGAGGAATAGAAGAAACTAATGGCAGCAGCAACAGACTAAAAGACACAAGAAACGGAGGTTAAATTTTGTATTGAGAGAAAAATTTAAGATCATCATAGAAGGTTGGTCTTCTCATAGAAGACCAGGTGATCTTATCATAGAAGATCAGTAGGTCTTATCATAGAAGACCAGTTGGCCTCCTTATAGAATAGAAGACAAGTTGGGCAACTCGTAGAAGACCATTTTGTCTTCTCATTGAAGACCATTTGATCTTCTCATAGAAGACCTGATGGTTTTCTTATAAGAGGCCAATTGGTGATCTGCTCTCCTATGGGCATAACTACTGAACTTATAGAAGACAGTCTACTTATATTCCAAGAGAAGAGGTATTAGTCTTCTTCTATCAGATCTTCCTAACTCACCTGTGTAAATTTAAACAAAGCAAATGCTCCAACCGAGTTCTTTACGAACACCCCACCCAACATCGAATAGATCTGAGTATTGAAGCAGGCATCTCCCAAACCTAATAGGAAGGCGCACAATAAGGCGATCCATGTACGAGGAGGATTGAAGAACGAAATACTATCGGTATCATTGAAGGGGGCATTATCGGGCAAGTTGAAGAAGATTAAAATGAAGGCCACAATATGGATTAAATAGCCAGCAATGACAATGGGATCACGACCAAAACGTGTTGTCTTCGAAGCCAAAATGCCAAAGAGACTGCCTCCAAAGACTTCGCCAACACCAATGCAAATGCCAGCCAAGCCCATGATTTCTTTGGGAGTATCGGAGATTTTCATTGTAAAACCAATCGAGGGGCCATAGACGCCACTGAAGAAGGAAAGCTCGAAACCTAGGAAGAAATTGAGATTAAACAAATGTATCCATATTCAAATTGCATTTCTCCTTACCGGTATACAAGAAAGCCATACTGAGCAGCAACATATCTCGGGTCATAAACAATTGTCCTGCCGAACGGAAAGCCACTCGAGCACTATCCCATGGCGTCTGGGGTTGACGTAATTCCGTATCCACGGTTGAATTGTCCGGCACATAACGCAATGTTGCCAAGAAGATTACACCCAACACAGCCACTCCAGTTAGAACACCAATAACCAGCGAACGGGTCTGATAGTCAATTTGATCCTTATTTTGAAATTCGTAGTACACAAAGAGATTGCCAAAGAACATACTGCACTGTAGCAAAGCCCAAAAAATGCCAGAATTCCTGGATATGTTGCCCGAGTCACTGCATCGAGCCAAGAAACTTCCCTGGCCGGTCCATGTGATGGCAGCACCCACACCCAAGAGGGCACTGGCCACATATAACAGCCATGTGCTAGGAAACAGAAAGGTGACCACAAAGAATCTGAAATAAAGGAAAAGTACGGGATTAACATAGATGATTTAAAGGTCATAGTGCTTTGTCTATTTAAATGTATTTTTGTCGGAGTAAATGGGATATTGAACAAATGCTTTGAACAGAGTCGGTAAGACAATTCAATTTATCGGCTGTTTGCACACATACGAATTCCACTCAATCTATATCATCCAACCTATCAAACCATCTGCTATATTAGCCTTTAAGACTACTATGAGTCTTCAAAACTTACGTATAAGTACAAGCTCCCACTACCATAGCGGTACGTGGTCCAGTAAATGCAATAAAGGATGGGGCAAGCCAATTGAAGAGAGCAAATGTGGCATAAATAACAGCCAAACTGGTATAACCGTCTCCATTGAAGCTGGGATCGTCATCGTGAATGCTAACCAATAGGGTTTTCTGTAATGAAATAAAGATAAAACAATAAATTGTTATAAATCGTGGCATATTTTTAGGCTGATGAGATACACAAGCATTGAAATAAAATAAGTTAGTTATATTTTATTGAGTCTTTTTTTTATCAATAAGATGACAATTAATAACAATATAAGGGAATCCTTAAGACTATAATGTATTATCCTAATGTTGAGAAAAGTTATACAGCATCATGCTTCATTTAATAAAAAGACAATAAAATGTAAAAATCTTGTGTGTTAATGGACGCCCTTGCTCCCGGGACTTTTACATAAAGATTGAAATAAAATTACAATAGATTTGGTAATTGTTATACAAATGAAAATGTTTAAACTGTTATATTTTATTTTTGTTGGCGTTATGTAGCTTTGTTCATATTTCGTTGCTAAAACTAGGGCGATTTGTTCAGCTTAATTTTTTGATGAATTTGTTAAAAACAAATTCCTATTGGAGTTAATGACACTGGCATGTTTTGCGTATGCGGAATTATTTTGCTTTTGTTGGTATTGTTTTTCGGTTGAAATGAAAGACATAAATTTAACCCACATCAAGATTTTTTTCCTTTAGAAGATACATATGAACGTCGCTCATTTGAAAATACATTTATAGGTAGGTTATCACATGATCGTTTTGCCGAATTTTATCTTTTCTTACGTGCGCCAAATTGCGGCTTAACATTTATCCCCTAATTATATTTGAAATAATGAATGATGTCTCCAAATTTGTCCAATTTTGAAATGCGCGAAAACCAACTCAAATAAATGGACACGAGAAAATGGATATTATGAGTTTTTAATAATTATGTTTACAAAATGTCATATCTCTGACGACAATAGTTGTGAAAAACTGTCAATTAAATGATTGCCAAGATATGTATGTCTGTTTGACTGTCTGTATGTATGCAAGTGGAATAAGTGAAAGCTATACAGGCATTTATTTCAAGACTTAGCCATCAATGAATCAATGCATTCATTCATTCACTCATTCATTGATTGATGGACAGCTGTAACACGCTGCAACGCTTAATCAGATAAAATGTAGCAAGCTGCAATGAGACGTTGCATGACAAACGAATAAAGAAAATAAAATGAATCAATAATTAAATTGATCGCTTCAGTATTAGAAAAGCGATATGAACACCTTTTTCAGATGTAATTCGAAACATTTTAGTTATAGTTCACAACTTTCTATTTGTAAATCGAAGATTTTATTTGTATTTCGAAACATTTTAATTCTAATTCGAAAATTTCATTTCTAATAAATTCAATAATTAAATTGATCGCTTCAGTATTAGAAAAGCGATATGAACACCTTTTCCAGATGTAATTCGAAACATTTTAGTTATAGTTCACAACTTTCTATTTGTAAATATATTTTATGTCTGAAGGACTTTTTGTATTGAAAATGGGCAATGTAGGTCCACGTCTTCGTATAGCATCCATATAACGGTACCTCCCAATATTCGTTACTGTGTTGATTTTAGCGATATTATTCACCGGAATTGTTTCAAATTTGGTATTTGAAGTTCGTAATGGATACTACAGCCTATGAGAGAAGGTTGTCTGTGCAGGTCCACATCTTCGTATAGGCCCCATATAACGGTTCCTCCCGATATACAGTATTTTGATGATTTTAGCTAATTATTCACTGTATTTTTTTAAGTTTCGCATTTGAGTATTGTAATGGCTTATGACAAAAGTTACCATGTCATCGTATAGACCCTAATATAACAGATTTATTTGGTATTTTTAAGATTTTAACAGAATTTTTAACGGATTTTATTGTTTTTGAGAATTGCCAATTTCGTTACAAACGGTGTTCGGCCCGGCCGAACTTACAGCTTTTTTACTTGCGCATTTCTTTCTTTGATCCGCAATAAATGTAATATTTTCTTAAATGTATTTTACCAAAATAGAATAATACTTACATTTTCATCAACTTCTTGCTTTTTTTTTTTGGTTACCTTTTTCCGCGCAAAAATCACTACATACTTTGTTTTCGACAACATACTACCTATCGTGTACAACATCGTGTAGAAACAGTTATATTTCGATATCGGTCCAGATATGGCCCAGATCGAAGGCTTTCTATAAATTAACAAAGATGTGGTAAAACTAAACAAAATTGTCTGAAAATACAATTGATATATAATAGAGTACATTTATTAGTACATTGACAAGTTTTTTTTACACAAGTACAATACAAAAAACAATATTATATTTTTGAATAATAAAAAAATAAAAATAATAAGTAATTCTATAAATAATATATCAAAAAGAGTAAACTAATTTGCTACAACTATGTTATTCTTTTTTTTACTTCGTACATGTGAAGTTTATATATTTATGTTTGTATATATAATAATGGGTATGTATATATATATATAAATTTTTGTAAATATTGTATTAAAATATCAATTCGAATCGATACAAAAGAACAATGTTGACAAATATTTTATAATAATGCCAGTAATAATGATTACGCTAAAAAAATATTGACGTGTATACTCGCATAATAAATTTAGTTAACAATAAAGTTCGGCTAGGCCGACAACTCTTGTGTTTTTACAAAAAAAAAACCCTTCACTTAAAGTGTTTAAATTCAAATTGTTTTTCATGATTTTTTCAACATTTTTAAGGGATTACGAAAGTGGAAAATAGAGGATGTAATAAAGAGGTAGATTTATTCGAATGTAATACAATCCCAAATAAAGTGCGAATCAACGAACGAATAAATCACAAGATTAAGTTCTGACCCACAAAGTTCTTTGCTAAGTTCTTTAGCTAAAGTTTTCATTGACATGTTCAAAGTTTGGGGAACGAAATTGTTGTTGCAATCCGCTCAGTGCATGATCGTGATCGGCTTTCATTAATTTATTAATTTTATTTATTTTTTTAATTAATTAGTAAGGGATAAAGCCTGACCATTTTGTAACAACAAAATACTATGGTATCCCGAACAAACAAGCTAACACTGTTTTAATTTATTTCTTATAACATAATCGCCCTTATTCTATTTGGCGGCGCCGACATCGTTGGAATGGCATCACTTGTTTTCAATGTCTACACCAATTTGGTATTTTGTAACAGGGCCGACTGTTTATCGATAATTTGAATCTGTCATCACTAATATTTGCGACAGCTGATATACATTGTAGCAAATTTAGTTTAAACCCAGTAAGAAAGGCCAAAGTCGGGATGGGCCGACTTTATGATACCCTACACCACTTTGCATATAGTCGTAGTATGCTACATCGAAAACTGTAACGACCAAATAAAAGCCTATACAAACCAACATTTTCTTAAAAAAATCCAAAAACCCTTACATTGTAATATTTATACTTAATATGCCGACTCGCAATAAACGCCCTCGTACCGAGAGAATAAGGGCTAATACCACGCATTAACCATAAAATTTGTTTGCACTTCATTTTAGTTGCATTTATTAATTCTTAAAGAAGAAGAGTAGAACATATAGTTTCTATGATACTGAGACATTTTCAAGGAATTGTCTAACTCATTTTCGGTAATTAACAAAATTTGTCGGTAAGTTAGCGACGAAATCAAAGTAGTCGCTAAGGGCTAGCCCTTAGCCCTTTCCGTTTTGGTATAGCCCCCATATAGCGGTACCTCCCTATATTCAGTATTTTGATGATTTTAGAAACATTTTTCCACAGATTTGTCTTAAAAATGTTATTTGTGGGTCATAATGGGTTCTAGCTCCGGTAGCGAAACAATGTATGTATAGGTCCACGTTGTTGTATAGCCCCATATAACGGTACATCCCGATATTCTGTATTTTGATCAAAATTGGTATTTGCAGTTCATAATGGGTTCTAGCCCGGTGGTAAAACATGGAATATTTAGTTCCATGTTTTCCTAAAGCGCACATATAATTATACCCACCGATATTCGGTATTTTAATAATCCTAGTCACATTTAAACACATAATTGTTTCAAATTTGGTATTTTAAAAATTTTGATAGATAACAATCCTTGAAGTATTGCCTCTAGAGATTCCCGTTTTGGTATGGCCCCATATAACAGCTTTACTCAATGTATGATTTTTTGATAAATTTAACTGCATTATGAAAAAACGGTCTTACAGGTATACGAAGTTTAAAGTGAAACCCGCATGACTTTAGATACTTTTATATAAAAATGTTTCCTTTACCCTACGGTGGAGGGTATTAAATATATTTTTTTTACTTGTTTATATCAAAATTTTGGGTTTCAAAGTCACGGATTTTTGTTGGTGGTCTGGTCTTTTTCCTTTAATTGAAGATTTTTTTATAAGTTTTTTTTTCATATAACTATATACGAACTGTGTCAATCTTTGGGAAACCTGTAGATCGTCCTCAAACTACGAAAGAACTTCAGATAGTGATCTATTAACTTAGGAGAATATAGATTCTTCCAATCGGATATAAAACAAGTCATAAAAATCGGTCTCACTGAATGGTAGTTTTAGAGTAATTAGTTATTTAAATATATGTATGTATTTTGAGCAATGATTTCATAATTACTTTTGTTTTCGGAGAGGTTTGGGATCTTCAACTTATGGAGTGAACGGATCACAGACTTAATATATTCTTCATTATTTTTCTCTTATCCAAATAAAAGTGAAGGATTTTAGTTAATAACAATATTGTATACAATGAATAAATATGTATAAAATTTATGTACGTATGTAATAAAGACCGATATCTGCATTTTTACTTTTAATGTTTTAAAAATATTGAGATTTTTAAAGACTATTAAGTCACTTTAACATAAGAAAAAAAAAATGGTAAAAATAGGAAGGTAACTACAGACATTTTTTTTAAAAATTAAATTTATTAAACTTTCCATATTTTGAAAATGAGGTAACAATTCGTAAATAATATAGTTCATAAGGATTCAATATTCCATTTTCATAGCTGGAAAATGGTGCATAAAGAATTAAAGATAAAACACTAGGTGTTTATTCCAAGACTTTATAGAACAGATGAAAATAAATAAATATGCATGTTTTAAGGTTTTATATGGAAGTGAATACA